AATGCCAGCCTTTTCTGTTGTGATATGAAGCTGGATCGTCCTTCGGAGCAATGATTGGAATGTGGCTTCCATCTATAGCTCCACCACACATTGGGTAGCCGCGTGCAGCAAATCCATCCATTGTGACCTGTAGCTGGTCCAGCTTTGGTAATGAAATGAAACGTTCTAGCAAACGGTCCTTCAGAGCACTTGTCACCTCTCGCAAAAAAACACAGACAGTGGATATACCAACACCAAACAGGCAGCTTATGGTTCTGTATTCGCTCGGTGTGGCATACCACCAGATAACAATGGCTAGCCTGAGGGAAGGTTCGTAAGGCCTGCGCCAGTTTGTAGTTTTCCGTGCCAAAACAGGCCCAACCAAGCTTAACAGGTAGTTGAAGGTCCTGCAAGACATTCGAAAATGTTGATACCACTCCTCATCTCCAAAGTTTTTCAACGCGTTTGACCAGAAAACTTCGCCACTTGGTCGTGAATGTTGCCATATACGCTGGGTCGCGGTCTCCTGAAGCATGCGGCGAACCATGGCAGCTCGCCTCCTACGGTACCGTCTCCTACACGCGCGACGGAGCGTTTCACACCGCTCCCGTGATTCCTTTATTACCAATTGAGCTTCATCATCCAGGTCTCTAATGCGTTTTCGTGTGCGCAGGATTACGCTTAACATAAGTCCGATCAGTGAGAGGAATTCTAGCTCTTCGCCGGCCATGTTGGACTGAATAGCTTTGTTTGGGGAAATGACGCATGTACGCCCGCCGCACTTTGTTTACGCAATATCCGGGTACAGCCTCCCCACCCCCTCCCCCCAGACATCTGGAACTTTTCCCTGCTGTCTGAACGCAGCCGAAAGGACAAGTTCCGGTACAAAAGTGGTGTGTCTGAAAACACAGTTCCGGTTAAAAACCGGATTGAATTTTCCACAAATGTTCCAGAATGTCTGTCTGAAAAGAGCTTTAGTGTGAATGCCGACCGTCGGATTACGGAAAAGCAATGTGGTTTTTGTCTTGACCATGGAACACTGGACCAGCTCTATACCCTTCGGAAGGTCCTGGAGAGTACGTGAGAGTTAGCCCAACCAATCTACATGTGTTTTGTGGATTTGGAGAAGGAATTCAACCACGTCCCTCGAGGTGCCCTGTGGGGAGGACTCCAGGAGTATGGGGTACCAACCTCTCTGATACGGACTGTTAGGTCCCTGTATGACCGGTGTCAGAGCTTGGTACACATTGCCGGCAGTAAGTCGAGCTAGTTTCTGATGCGAGTTGGACTCCGCCAAGCCTGCCCTTTGTCACCGATTCTGTTCATAACCTTTATGGACAGGATTTCTAGGTGCAGCCAAGGTGTTTTGGGGATCCGTTTTGGTGGCCTAAGATTGAGTCACTGCTTTTTGCAGATGATGTGGTCCTATTGGCTACATCAGAACGTGATCTCCGGTTCTCATTGGAGCGGTTCACAGCCGAGTGTGATGCAGCTGGGATGAGAATTAGAGATGAGGTCCTGCCCCAAGTGGAGGAGTTTAAGTATCTTGGAGTCTTGTTCATGAGTGGGGTAAAGATGGAGCGTGAGATCGACAGGTGGATTGGTGCTGCGTCTGTAGTGATGCGGGCGTTGTACCGATCTGTCATGGTTAATGCTGTTTAGAGATCATTATGATTTTATGACTTGGTTTTATTTTATTTTGATCTAAGTGAAGCACTTTGTGATTCTATGTCTGTGATAAGTGCTATATAAATAAAATTTACCTACTTACGTAAGAGAAAGCTGAACCAGTAGGCAAAGCGCTCAATTTACCGGTCGATCTATGTTCCTACCCTCACCTATAGTCAGACTTTGGGTAGTGAATGGAAGAATACAAGCGGCCAAAATGAATTTTCTTTGGGCTCTTTCTTAGAGATAGGGTGAGAAGCTCGGTCATCCAGGAGATTCTTGAAGTAGACCTGCTGCTCCTCCACATCAAGAAGGGCCAGTTGAGGTGGTTCGGGCACCATCCTAAGGATGCCTCCTGGACATGTCCCTGGTTTTCCAGGCACGTCCAACCAGGAGAAGGCCTAAAGGAAGACCCAGGACACGCTGGAGAGACTAAGTCTCACGGCTGGTCAGGGAATGCCTTAGGATTTCCCTGGAGAAGCTGGCCCAAGTGGCAGGGGAGAGGGAAGTCTGGGCCTCCCTGTTTAGGCTACTGCCCCCGCGACCCGACCCTGGATAAGCGGCCAAAATGAATGGAAAATTTATTATTATAGCTTCATTTTTTGTATTCTTTTACATTTTGCACCAAAGGGAGTGACACTCCAATGTCATTGTACCCTGTACAATGACAGTAAAGGCTGTCCTATTCCAACATTATAAAAGTCACAGTAAAAACCAATCGCTTCAATCAAAGGCCAGACAGAAAGTTGAGTCTTCAGATGAGATTTAAGTAAAAGAGTCAGCCTGGTTTATGTTTGTAGGCAGCTTGTTCCACAACCTGAGACTTCATGCATCATTTCTGCCTTTCACTTGACATTTTAGGACTTTATTCTGAGGGTGAGATCAGCTGTGGTTCAGTGGAAAAATCTGTCACTTGCCAATCCGAAGGCTGGTGGTTTAACCTCAGCTTCCCCACAGCAGATGTCTTGGGCATGACACTAAACCTCATTTAGTCATAGTGTCAGGGTTTAGACTCTATAGGCATCTGAAAATCTTTTTATTCCAAATAGCATTTAGTTAAGAGTTTGGCCTTTATCATGATTTCAGCTAAAAAATGCACATAATGGGGTAAAAATTGTGTTTGAACCAGTTTTGTGGTTGGAGGAGAGCATTTCAGAGTTTTGCATGTCAAATGAGATGGGTCATTAAGGGTCAAGAATCAATATTTGTCCTCAGGGATTCACAGAGTTGAGGCACATCCTGAAAATAGTCAATTAGGTTTTTTGTTTTTGTTTTGTTTTAAAGTAATGTGGAAAACCACAGTTGTGGAGCTATTAGTGTGGACCTGGTGACAGTTCTTAGAATAATCACTGACAGGTCATCAGCCCTGTGCTAGAGCAAAGCTGACACAATTTACTGGCCGATTCTTATTATTTTAACTACGACTACAGTTGCTTCCAGCAGTGGAGACAATTCCTACATATGTAGGGCTGAAACGAATCAGATCTCTGCAGCTGTGTTGGGCAGAGCCTCTGCAGCTACCGACTGGTTGTTGCTACGAGTCTGCTCCATCCCCGCAGATCTTTGGGAGGCCGTTGCAGCATGTAATTCACTAACACTTTTATATTTCAATGCAATTTAGACTAGATTATGTTGCCAACCCATACATAATAAAATAAATATTCCACAAGTTCACTGTTACAAGTAGAAATTAAATGTTAGCATTTCTAGTAGCTTACTACTGAACATGTTAATGAAATAATTAAATACTAATCATTATGATAAATGACCTGCACTTGTATAACGCCTCTCAGAGTAAGGCAAAGTACTTTACACTACAGTGTAGCATTCATCCATTCACACACACATTCCCACACTGATGGTGATGAGCTACAATGTAGCCACAGCTGCCCTGGGTCACACTGACAGAGGCGAGACTGCAGAGCAAAGGTGCCACCGGTCCCTCCAACCACCACCAGCAGGCAAGGGGGTTAAGTGTCTTGTCCAAGGACACAACAGCAGAATTCTCTGTCCGGAGCCGGGATCGAATCTGCAACCTTCCGATTACTGGACAACCCACTCAACCTGTTGAGCTACTGCTGCCCCCGAATGTGAATATTTTTAGATATGTTATTTTGACTAGGATGAGGTCAATACAAACCTAAATTGTGAATCAAATGTAAGTTAAATGTTGTTCCATAAAATATGTATTAACTATAAATATCAGCTGGGAAGGGGGGAAGTAGACAACACCAATTTAATATATATTATTGAGCCTTTTATCATTTTGCTTTGTAATTTATTATTTTTAGCAGCAAACCATGATCTTGTTTCTTTCATGACTCCCAGGCTGACACCCTCCTCTGCCCCTGCTCTCTCCTCAATCAAGCCCTCAGCCACTTAATTACCTTCACCTGCACCCTGTCATCAGCTCATTACACACACCTGCTCCCCCTGCTATATATTCACCAGCCAGTTCCCTGCCAGATTATTGAACGCTCATTGCCAGTAGATCGTCCAGCCTTTCACCTTGCCTGATCACAGCCTCCGGACCTCGTTCTCATGCCTGACCCCTGCCTAGGACTCTGCCTGCCATCCCGACCCTCGCCTGTCTTTGACCTCTTCTATAGCCTGCTCCATTTACCTGCTTCGCCTCGTTCTGGTTTTTGAACCACGCCTCCTCTCCGACTCTGTCTCCAGCCTCGCCCTCCTTGGGTACGCCACATCTAATAAAGACTTTTAAAGGAGCTTCACTGTGTTTGGTGTCAATTTTTGTCCTTCTACTTCAGCTCATGACAGTTTCACTTGAAACGTCGTCAAATAGAATCCTCGATTAATTGATGGACGATTCGATAGAATACTCGAATACTAAAATATTCGATAGCTGCAGCCCGATACATATGCATGGCGAAAATGCATTGAACCTGTTTCTGCAGAGGGTAGAAGCACATAAATGATCTATAATGGGAAAATTACCACAACAGCTTTAAGTGGCTTCAACTTTTATTATTAGTAGGGACAATTCTCTCAATTCTAAATATTGGTGGGGCATTAAAATGATGCTTATGGGTGAAGGTTCATGGTTCTTCTGGTTCTGGTTTTAGAATTAAGATTCAATACTATCTGCTGGTTTTCCTAGTTCAATCATGCTTGACTTAACTTTTTTATAATTACTGAACATAGAAATCTTACAGATAGACCTAAATCACTGCAGAAATGTGGCTTTGAATCTGGATGCGGTCTGAAATAAATCAGACTTGTTACTTTCTGTGTTGAGCCTTTAGATGACTCTGGTCATTGGTGTAAACTGAACTGAAAACTGGATTAAACTGTAATTGATTCTAATCAAACTTTTAAAAATTCTTTCTTTGCAGTTCAGAAAGTGTCTAATCCAGCACTTCACTGGTGTGGGCACAGTCCCAGAGAGCAACTTCAACCAAACATCTGAACGACCTGGAATTACTGTCGAGAGTCAAACTGGAGAAATGTCGGCCATTGCGGCACGCATTCCCGTAGGCGTCGCTGGATCACCCAGATCTGATGATTCTCAAACCGACTGTGGCTCATTTGCTCAGCTTCCCATTCCAGAGAACAAAGTTTGTCCGCTGTAACACCTGACCTCATTCTAATAGGTATTTGTTCATTTCCAAGAGTGTGTATCAACCTTCTGTATTCCACCCATGGTGTGCTTACGAACCTTTTGGACTTGAAGAACAGTAACAAGGTTTTCCCAATTTCTTGAGGAGCAGTAGAGCAGATAGTGATTTTTTGAATAAAGTCCTTAGCGCAGAAATCTGGAACTCGAAGATGAATTTGTGCTTCAGAAAGTTTTAGTTGTATGTTCAATGTTTGAATAAATTGGTGAGCATTTGCTTGAACTTATGAAAATCAGCCCTCAGAAAACACTGAAACAATTAACTGCAAAACCTTGAAATGAGTACAATGAGGGCAAGTCTGTTTCAAACGCACCTATAGTCTTTCATCTTGGCCTTGCCTTTTTATTTGAAGCCTCTTGATGGAGTCTGCAGAAAAAGCATAGCTTTTCTATGCTGTTTCCAGGTTTTACTTTGGCAGCAAGTGTTGTTCATGTTTGTATGTCAAAAGCAAAGAACATACTTTGTATTTTGACTTTCTTGCACGGGCTGCTTTCAGTGGAATTATCAAAGATATTCAAAAAGAGATGGATAGTCATGTCTCCATTTTCCTCATGCATGTAAAGATTTTGAATGTATAATTGATACCAGCAGGAAATCAAAGGCTCACAAGCTACTACTGCTGTGGTCTCAAATTTAGAGAATGACATGAAAATTTTCTTTCACAACGTTTTTCTTCTTTGGTACTTGGTGAAACTAGAATCTGGTGCAACATTTTATTTACCGTATGTCAGTAATTCAACTTAAACGTTTAAACTAGTCTACGCGACAGACTCATTTCATTATTAGTATATTAAAAAAACTAGAATTTTGTAAAAAGGGTCAATATTCTAGACTCAAAATGTCAGCTAATGACTCCAGAACACTTGAAGAGGGTTCCTGAGCCTTAATTTGCTCCAGATTTTCAATTTAACTATTTTCGTTTGTATTTTTGTTGAATGTTTTTATTAAAAGGTTTTCACGAGTCTGAAGATTTTATTAGAAAATTACCTTGTGTTTATTCAAACACTGGGATAAGTATCTCGGGGTCTTGTTCAAGCGTGAGGGAATGATGGAGCGTGAGATCAATAGGGGGATTGGTGCTGCATCTGATGTGGGCGTTGTACCGGTCTGTCGTGGTGAAGAGAGAGCTGAGCCAGAAGGAAAAACTCTCGATTTACCGGTGGATCTACGTTCCTACCCTCACCTATTGTCACGAGCTTTGGGTAGTGACTGAAATTACGAGATTGCAGATGCAAGCGGCCAAAATGAGTTTTCTCTGCAGAGTGGCTGGGCTCTGCCTTAGAGATAGGGTGAGAAGCTCGGTCATTCGGGAGGGGCTCGGAGTAGACCCGCTGCTCCTCCGCATCGATAGGAGCCAGTTGTGGTGGCTCAGGCATCTGATTAGGATGCCTCCCTGGGGAGGTTTTCCGGGCACGTCCAACCGGGAGGAAACATAACGGGAAGTCCCAGGACCAACTGGAGGGACTATGTCTCTCGGCTGACCAGGTAACGCCTTAGGATTTTCTAGGAGGAGCTGGCCCAAGTGGCTGGGGAGAGGGAAGTCTGGGCCTCTCGACTTAGGCTGCTGCCTCTAGGCCTCTGGAATTCACCCTGACATGCTGTCAGTCATCTTCTGGTCCAGATCCTGACCAATGGAGCTCATTCTTTATTATTAAGTGGTTTCTTTGCTGCCCTTCTTGACACCGACCACCCTTCAACAGTTTTCTTTTCACGGTGTGATTCAAATTCAAATTCAAATTCAAAGATACTTTAATAATCCCAGAGGGAAATTAGAGTTTCAGTACACACAATTCAGAGATCAGACATACATGGGCAAGACTCTTGACAAGAACTGGTGGCCGTGGTCATTCGCAACCCTGAGCCGTGCTACCTTAATAGAGATAAGAGGGTAACAATAGGAATTGATTCGGGAGGAGGGAAAAAAAGGCACTTCACAGCTACTCTCCCACCAGGAGGGCAGCTTTGCTCTGCAAAAAAACACCTCAGACAGATAAGCAACAGACTTCAGACAACACAACATAGATACTCCAATAGGAAGGCGGGGTGGGTTGGTGGGGTGGGGGGTGGGGTGCTGCTGGGATTCTGTTGCCCCAGCGAGAGCAGCCATGTACGGCGCTCAGCCACTGTAGCCACAGGAGGGAGGGAGATCTCCGGAGAAGCGCAGAGCACATTGACTCCTGCAGGTTGATGACCTCGCCAGGCTGAAGTCCACCAATCCGAATGCGGGGTTTCACAGCATCTGTCTGCATTCCTTCGTGGGGGTTTGTTGTTAGCATCTCGAGGCTGCTAGTGCATCTGATTCGGATAACAAGACTTTGTTTGGGTCAGGCTGAGATAATTTTCCTCTCTGCCTTCAGTCTTTACTGATCATTCCAGTCCTTCAGTGAAGCCAATTTCGGTTTTTAAACTTGTCCATACCGTCTGGTGACCCTCTCCGAGATGCCATCCATTTTGCGCACTAATACCGGTATCGCAGCTAGAACATTGTCCAGCTTACGATTCAACTCGAGTAGCGACCCAGTCTGTGAGGTCTCCACACGGACGGTGCTTTCCGTGGGTGTGGGTCGCCCTCCAATCGCTCCCGTCTTCCCAAATTTCCAGAAAACCAGGTATCCTCCCACTCCAATCAGAAGAAATCCAGTGATCATCAGGCCAAATATCCACATGTCTTCGACGTCCTCAATGGACAGCTGGGAGAGGCATACGATCTACCACTCCTTCCAGGAATCCAGCATATACCCCGCCGGGTGTGTCCACTGCGGGCACGTGGGAGCCCCCTGCTCCATTCTCAATGTTGAAAAAAATCTTATCAATCGTGTTGAATGACCAATTTATCAAATCCATAGTTAAAAATAGGGTTTTTCAGAAGAAATTCAGAGAAGCGCTCTGTGGGCAGACAGGACAAAGAGCCTTGGGAAAAAAGGGAGCAAAAAGAGAAGCGTCTGTTCTCTGTGAGTGCCAGGAAGGATCATTGCAGATGCACTCACTCTTGCTTGTTGTGCTGCTTAAACCAGCTTTAAACTGGTGCAGCCCCCATGCCGCAGATGGACACACTTTAGGAGATGGTTCTGGTGCTGCTGGACTTTTTCAGGTGCCAAATTCAGTGGAACGAGCTTTTGGGTAAATGTTTTAGAAATGTATTTTTTCAGAGTTTTATTTTTTAATGGATTCTAATTCATCTGATGACTATTCTACAGTTTAGACAAACTGCCATCATTAAAACTGAAGTGCAAACGTTGTGAAATGTAATATTTGGGTCATTCTCAAAAGGTTTTGCCACTGTTGTCAAAGAAACAAAAACAGTTTTCTTGTTTTACAATAAGCTTTGTAGTGGCAGACAAAGAAAGTTCTTCAGTATATCAGCAGAAAATATGTGAATTTCTTAATTAGCCATATGGAAAAGCAATGTATTTCCATCTAAAGCACAGATCAACAGCAATATGTTCTGCAAACTCATCATTAGCTACAGCAGTAGCAGTAACTGTTCAAATGTCTTCATCTTGGTTTGGTGGTGCATGTTTATTCCCAGTAACTGTACTTTTTTTATGTACTGAACAGTGAGTCTCTGTAAAGTATGGTGTTTGTGTGTTCCAGTCATAGCTGCTCATGTACCAGGTGGCATTTGAAAAGATGATGATAAACTAATAGTGCTAATCTGATGAGTTAAAACACACCAATTTAAATAACAACCTGCAAATTTTACTGGTGGAAATTTCTGTCATTTAACTTAAAGATCTCCAAAAATGTTAATCATAAGTAAAACAATTATTATTGTGAAAACAATGTTTACATAAGCTAAACTTAAAAGGTCTTTAACTAACAGTGGTTCTTGGGTTTCATCTACCTGAGAAGTGGCCTAAACCACTGAAGTTACTCTGCCACTTAAATTACCAACAGGAAGTAAGGTGTAGTGTGTGCGAAGGAAGCTTTCAAATAGAATAAACAAGAAAAAAACAATGCTATTGTCAGTATGGCATGGAGTCATGGGTTTGCTTAGAGATGGAAACAATGATATCACTCAAATTCAAAAGTACGTTAATAACATCAGAGGGAAATAAACACATCAGGTGGACTTAGGATATTTTGCCCCTTTGAGACCAGTTTTCCAAAACAACATTCATTCCAGACTCCTAAAACTCTGCTACTGTGCAACCAGAGAAGTGAATCAATGAAAAACCTTTTATTTTCACTAAACACTGTTCTGACATGAACACCTAACTTCCAAACAGCAGTAAGACCACGTCAGACGTCCTCCTCACAGATTAACGTTCTACTTGCAACTTCTTGCTCTCCACTGGACTCTTCATTTATTTTTTTGTCCACCAGAATGTGGTAAGAATGAAACACACACACACACACACACACACACACACACACACACACACACACACACACACACACACACGGTGTGCAAATAATTTTTGTATTTCTTTCAGATGTCTAAAAAAATATTCAGAAGTTTGACCATTTTGATCTTAATCTCTAAAAGAAGAAACACAGGAAGACGTTTTCTTCCGAGTGGCCCTGACAGCAGGACCAACGCACCAAACGGAATACGTAAGAGTCATAAATGAAATTGTTGAAGGGTAGCTCAGATTCTGGAGTGAAACTGTTTAGACCTGAACTGAGCAGCCACCTGCTTCAATGAAGGTCTCATTGAGCTGAGGCATCATTACTTCACACTGTTTTGTGTTGGCAAAAGTCTAGTTTGCAAATATGTTATAATTTAGCAAGATACATGTTTTCAAGGTACCAAGAAGTTTAAAGACCAAGTTCACTTATTTTTCAACAAATCTGCAGTGGTCTCTAGTTTAAATGAATGCTTTATGAGTAGGGCTGTAGCGAAGCCTCGACGAAGTCGACGGCTCGATTCTAAAAATTTGTCGACGTCAGATCCGGTAGTCGACGCACCGCGCCCACTTGTTGCATCCCCAGGAGTTTGTAAATAGAGGAGGAATCTGCCTGTTCTTCCTCTAGTTCGCCCTCTTCTCCGCCTTAACTAACATCTCCGCCAAATACCGAAGACCCGGAACAACGTCCGTCCACTACTAGATTATTTTCCTGTTTTGCCCCTTCGTCTCCCGGCAACGGACAACAACTTCCGGGGTCAGATGCGCTGCTTCGTGTCTATCGCAGATGTAGAAAATCACCGGGAGCGCTTCTCCCTTAATAAAGGAGCTTCTTTCAGACATGAGGAGAGCTGTTTTGGTGGTAGCAGTCTCTCCTCCGTGCTGGTCTGTTTGCTGCTGGGTGTTTTTGGTTTATTTAAACTTGGTAACTTGAACTTAACGTTGGTAAAGCTACTGTTAGCATCTTCGCTAACAGCTTCTTGCGTTGGGATAAGCTGTTACGTTTTGGTTTAGAGTTCATCTTTTTTGTGGTGTAGATCTCCCTTCTATTACATTTAGAGTGTTGTGGGTTTTCGGTTTAGTGTAAAATACCACCTGAGTTTGGTTTAACCCGTAACACCACTCGCCTCACGCACATAAGTGACCAAAACAAAGCAGCGTGGAGACACTCCATCTTCTACCACCTCTCAGGCAGCAGCCTGCACTCCCAAGTTCTACACATCACCAGAACATAACCAACCAACACAATAAACGCAGTGTTATACAAAATGGAAGGCCTGTAGTGTTTATTCTCTTACAGTAAGAATTTATCAATTTTTTTTGAGGAATTTATTTGAGATTTTCTGGTTTTTGTTAATTGTGCAATAGAAAAATAATCATTAGATTAATTTTCTAAATAGTCATTAGAATAGTCGACTATTCGATAAAATAATCGTCAGAATAATCGTTTTAAAAATAATCGTTTACGCCCAGCCCTATTTATGAGTTCATCTCGGTGAGGCACAAAGCTCTGGTGCTTCTGTTTCAGGAAGTAGAAGTGAGCCAAAGCAGAGCTGAACTTCAGACGACAGGATTTGGATCCTTACTTCCTTTTATGTGGACATCTCTCCTCTGATTGTCTAACAGCTGCACGACTCTACCACTGACTCTGTTTGCTCTGCAACGTTGATGTTTTATCTTCACAAATAACACAAGCCTGGAGGAGTTCTGCTGTGTGGTGGAGTTGCTAATGCTAACGGCTAGGTTTAACTAGCAGAGACATTCTCTGCTGTTTCCTGGACGCTAAACCAACAGCAGCCTTCCCTGCCACTGAAGTGACAATGTGACTAGGGCTGAAACAACTCATCGAATGATTCAAATGGTTCGATTCATTAAATTCCTCGATTCATTTTTTAGTGATTCGAAGCTTCGTTAAATGTGCACTCCACAGTCTGAACTAGGGTTGTCAAGGTGTGAAAATTTAACCTCACGGTTATTGTGACCAAAATTATCACGGTTTTCAGTATTATCGTGGTATTTTTTTAAACGTGTTACATTTTCAGACAACTAAATAAACCCTGTATATCAGGAAATATCGTCCTCGGTTTGTGTCCTTCCAGTGAGCTTTGCAGATTTGGGAAAATGTCATCAGGCAGTAATCATTATTAAATTTATAATTATTCTCAGAGAGAGACCAACTCTTATCTGCCCCTGGGAGCAGGTGTGCAGATAGGGTGGGGGACGTGGGGATCTGTCCCCCCCAGATTCAGATCGACCCCGATCCGTCCCCCCCAACTAAGGCCAGAAAGAAAACAAAATCGGAGGTTAAGCGCTTGAAGCTCCTTTTTCCAATTACACTGAATGCAGCATGACGTAAACAAACACCGACTCCAGAGGTGCCAAAGTGGTTGCTGCTAGGATGCAGGATGAAGTGAAAATGGCAAGCAACGATTACTGCGTATTTAAAAAAAGACCAACAGTGCAAGTAGGGGGGACCGATCTGTCTGTTTATGCATGTTGGTTCTAGTTTCAGTACGTTGTTGTCAGTGTTGGGACTTAATCTTTATAAGCGCCAAAGCCTCACTGCTGACTTTAACAAGTCTCATCTACAAATATGATCCATCATGAAGTTACTACTTTACACCAGAAGATAGTGGAGATGTGTAACCTTCAGGCTGAGCAAAGTTTGGGAGTTTTTAGAGTTTGAAAAATGCCTCCCGCCGAGAGGCTCCCAGTCGGGGAGAGGAGGAGATGCGCGCAG